ACAACAATGTACATGAAAGAGCAATGTTCTCTACAATGAAAAGGGGTAAGGCTTCAAAGGCGACAACTGGAACGTAACCGAACACGCAACTGGGGGGGGCTGCGTCTTCCCCCAACCTCGCTCTTGTCAAGCAGCAAACGGTTGCATCAGATCGTCACCGTGCAACTGTTTACTTAGATCTTACAACATTTTATGAAACACTAAATCATGCAAAGCTCATCGAGTCCGCCAAGGCACTAGCCTTCCCGGCTAGTATCCTTAACACAGCGATCCAAATCTATCGCGGTCCGCATCATTGATGCTGAAGGCGCAATGAGCCCTTGTCATGCACAAGTTGTGAAGTGATAGCTGGATGTCTAGACGGCTCCAGCGTTATCCAAACTCCCGCTATCCCAGCCTTGCAAGGTCGTAAAAGATACCGACCTTTCGGCAGGACTGGACTTCTGGATAGACGATATGACCATCGATGCTGAATAGAGATGCGCAGCGGGCAGCGCAGAAGATCGTTGCACTGACTGACTGTGGCTAGGCAGTGCTATCTTGCAGACAGTGCTTCAAAATCTGCCTTCCAGGCAGACTCAGCGGGTGCAACATCTTCCGTTCCGGAGAGCCGCCCGTACTGCACCTTGTGAAAGATCTGGGAGTGGACTCAGCCGGGGCGCGCAGGCGTAGGATTGCCACCAGCAATGCAAGGATAGTGAAGGCTGGGCCGCAGCAAAAAAGCTTTCCAAGCTCAAGTCTCCAGCTCCAACGAGCTCAAGTCGCGGCCACTGGTGTGTTTTGCTGCAGCGATCTTCGTCACCAGGGAGGTATTTGCCAGAACGCATGAAAAGTGCTCAGAGCGATTGCAAGTGGCCATTGGAAGCTGTCCTTTGGCCCAAAAATTCCTTGCATGACCAAAGCATAAAGCTCCAGCACCCCCAATTTCCTTTGGCTCGAGACCTTCAGCCTGATATGCAGTCCTTCAAGGGTTTGCTTGGCCCCTTTTCTGCTGGTAGCAAGGAAAGAGTCTTTCTAGTCAGCATGCTTTTCAGCTTTGATGCAAGAGGTGACCGCAAATGAGGCTGTACGTAGAGTCAATGTGAAGGATGTTCTTTGTACCTCTATGCCATTGGCTTGAGCTTCTTAGCCGGGGCCAAGGGGGATGAAATAGGACAGTACAGAGTTGAGAAGCCCAAGACGAAACCAAGGAGAAACCCAAACAGAAGCTGAGACCCAGAGTGTTTTGCATTTCTTTATGCCCAAGCCAAAAAATGAAGCCCTGACTGCTAAGTTAGGGTTTGGAGCTGCAGCCGTTCAGAAGAGGAAATCAGACATGCGAGAAGATGAGAACCTCCCTAGGAAAAGCACGGACAGTGTGTCGAGAGCCAAAGCCAGGTCTGCGGCTTTCCATGCTGCCAAGGCTGCGGCCCGTGAAGCTGCTGCAATAGGGATGCCCTTAGTCAAGCCTCCGCCTCCCCCACCCCTCCCCCAGGGGACGGAAGGGTGCCAACGTCGCTGCAGCAGCAGGTGAAAGAGTCAAAGGGATGAGGTACTCTCCCACAGCCAGGCTGAGCCCAAGGTAGAAACAGGCTCTATCAGATTGCGAGAAAGAGGTGAGGTTCTCCCTCCAGGTGGCCAAGACCAACCGTTCGAACAGGCAGAGCAACACATCCATTCAGAAGGAGAAGGTGTACGTTCCAGGAGTGCAAAGCATCACAGACGTGAGATTCTCCCTCATGACAACCAGGATCCAGATACAAAAGAGCACAAGGGTAAGCAAGCAGCAAGGGGCAAGCTTCTTCCCCAAGAAGTCTGAGGGGTCCTGACTCGCCCTGGGAAAGGCGAGTCAAACTGCGTGCTGCCCCCCTCCAAGAACGTACCACAACAGGCTGCCCTCCTGCACGGATTGGCTACCATCCGAGGCATACCCCGTTATGTTCTCGGCTCCTTGCCGAAAGAGCTAAGCTATGAGTGGCAGGAGGGCCCCCAGTACCCGACTCAAATACTTGGCAAGAGGAGGAGACAAGGTGGTGTACGAAGCAGATGACATGATCCTCAAGATCAGTAATGTGTCCCAGTCACCAGAAGTCAGGTTTGCAGGTCTCCTTCCCAAGCTCACAGCCTCCACTCACTGGCAAGAAAAGGTGATAGTCAAATTGCACCAAGAAGATGGGGATGTGCTTCACACCCATAACCTGTTTATGACATGTCAGGATAAGGTTCAACTTGCAGCAGAGCTCCTCGCTGCGAGAGGTGAAACCTTCTCCTTCAAGTTCCTGGCATATGTCGGGTGCCTTTTGACTTTCGTATCTTCCTTGGGCATTACTGCCAGGGATACGGAGGCATCAAACCTTGGCATTCGCCTGCAAACTGCGGCTGACAGCCATCCAGAGGCAGTGTTCTTTGACACGCTCAGTTGGGTCCAGTCGAAGAAGGTGAACTGCCGATGGGTTGGCTGGTTGACTGCGCGCAGAAATACTGCCCCCTTCACGCCAGTTGGCTCAAACAGACGGCTTCAACAGCAGCAACTGACCCAGGAGGCACTTTTACCCGTCTGTTTTCTGAATGCCAGGCGTATGAAGCAAGGCTCACAGCACAAGAAGTCCTGAAAGACGGTGCCTTGTCAGAGGCATCACTTCCAAGCCTCCAGCTCTAGGGGTGAGCTGCTCCCCCAAACAGTGCGGTGAGACCCAGCTAGCTAAAGGGGAAACCATTAGCACACCCGTGTCTCCTTGAAGGGCCAGCCTCTCTCTTCTATAGCACTTCCC